AAAAAAAAAAGGACTGTGCATTGTTTTACTTATTTTTGACAAAATTTATCCTAAAAGCTTACACTGTTAAAATTTGATAAGCTAGAGGAAAAGGAAAAATACGAATATACTTTCTCTCCTTAAGTTTTTCTGTATTTGACAATTTGTTTGACAATAAAGTAAAAGGGGACAGTCATTTTAAAAAGTCACCTGCACTCAGAGTAGGATATCTCTGACGTCTGTGTCACCCACACTAGTATCTCCAGGGCCCCAGGATATCCAAAGTTGACAATGGAGAATGACTTGAAGTATGTCCAAAGGTCAGCAAAATTGTACATGAGTACTCTGATATATTATTACATAGTGACCAGTTTTGTCTTTTGCTACTCAAACATTAAGAATCACAGTTATACATTGAAGGGAGATAAAAGTAATTACTAGCACATAAAAACAGAATTTTTCAAAGGACATCATTAAATGAGAAGCGGCCTTGGAGTGGATAAAGTTGGGAAACAGACAAGTACATTTGACCTTAGTTAGTTCCTCTGAAATTCACCACATACTATTTTTGATTATTCAGTATGTAACTACTAACTTCTGCAATGTGCTAGGCTTTATAGACATTGCCTCATTCGATTCTAGATTATCTTACCAGAAAATACCAAAGTTCACAGTCACATCTGTAAGAAATGGTAGAAATAGAAAACAGCATCTCTCCCTTACTCAGGTAATAACTGACTTGAGGTTAAAGATTATTCTTTACACTGAATGTCAGAGAATTGACCTAAGGATAAAGAAGGCCATGGGAGCGTTCTAACTAGAGTGTGTAGAAATGAGGGAGGAAGAGTTCAAGGATGCTAGAAACCAAGTATCATAACCCTTGCACCTCACAAGTCCTACTGGAAGAACACAGCTATAGAGATAACAGAACCCACAGTTCTCCCTAATACTTGACCTCTAATCTTGACCCAGGAGTTCTTGGCAAAAGTAGATTGTGTCTGTCTTTCCCAAAGGTGTTTTCTAGGTTGATAAAATTGCAATCCAAGGTGGGTACATTTGGCCATGAAATTTCTTGTCCTTCACACAAGAGGTAAATCACAAGTGGAAAATGCTTTTAAATGTGTTGTCAAGGGTGCAGGTGAAAGTAGAAAAGGCAATTAAAGGCAGACACTCTCCAGGTATTTGCTCTCTGTAGTCATGGTTGGCTTGGAGTGTTTGCCCCAGCTAATTCCATACCCCATTTAGCATGTCCCTTCTGATTCATTTCCCCACTCCCCCATGCTTCTATAATGAACTCATGATCACAATTTTTCTTTTAACAAACTTTGAGCCATTAGAGCTCACAAAGACTAACTGATTATGCAATACCACCAATGTCCAAGCTAGTATCTGAAGTGAGTGGAACAGAGACATTTGCCCAAGACAGCACAGCTAGTTGGTAGAATAAAATGTAATGAATGCCACATGTGGGCACTTCCCTGTTTATAAAACACCATCATTTTAGATATCTGCTTTATATATTTCTTAACCCCTTGACCTGTAAAACCATCATAGTTGCCCCAGGGAGGCATTGCATTTTGTTCTGTGTATGAGTGAGGAAGCTGAGGCAATCTGGAGTACACAGAACTAATTCATGATAAGGGTCACAACTTATGAGCGCAACCATGGCCAAAGGGATGGTCAAATCTGGGCTGGAGTCTGCCTCTTTTACTAGCTGCTTGTGTGATCTTGAGAAGATTAACTTCTCCACACCTTTTAAACAGGGATAATATTAATAAGTACATTGTAAAATAGTTCTTCATAGGATCAAAAGAAATGATGCTTATAAAATAGTTATCAGAATGTATTAATATCTTCTATTAATAGTAGGTGTCATTTGGAGTTCTTTCTAATATGTTATGTTGTATTACTAATATTTCATTAAAAATATCTACTTGCAGATGACTGGACTAAAAAGATGTGGTACATATACACAATAGAATATTACTCAGCAACCAAAAAAAAAATAAACACATGTCTTTTGCAGGAACATGGATGGAGCTGGAAAAGATCATGCTTAGTGAAATAAGCTAGAAAGAAATGGAAAAATGCCAGATGGTTTCACTCATAGCAGGAATATAAAGGACCAGATGAGAAAATAGCTATAATAATGAACAGCTATATACCAGAGACATTTTATGAGGTGGAGGGGGGAATGGGATCAAAAACAGTGGGAGGAGGGAAATGCACTGGACTATGGTGATGGCACATGGGTGATTTGGTGATGGGAATCCCACAGGGATTACAACTAAGATGGAAAAAATTCACAAATGATGTTTAAAATAACCTATTATATTGTTTTTTTAAAAAAAAATATCTACGTGCTATCATTCCCACAACTTTTTTCAAAAAGTGGAGCTCACGGACCTAGTCAATACGAGGTATACTGAGAAGTCCTATCTTAGACAAGTTCCTGGTCTTGGTTGATCTACTTCAGTCACTCTTATTTCTAAGAAAAAGGGGTGGGAAGAAACAATAAATTCATTGTTTGATTTAACTGTTGTTAACAGTTTAGTAGAAATATATCCCCCATAAAACTGTAATAATCAACCAATTTTTAAGAGAACGTTAAAGATTTTACCTGAAGAATATAGAATTTCAGTATCACGGTCAACTCAAAAGGAGGTTTTGGCTCCAGTCTGCTACACAAATCTCACCTGTGAAATACAAGATGGCTTCCAGCACACTGAGAAGCATGTGGCAGAATGCAATATACCCAAGGTTTCCTTTTTACATCAGTCTTCATTTTCTGCATTTTTCACCACAGTTGTAGTCACCATGGGCTTCCCACCACCAATTCACCTGTGTGCCGTCACCATAGTCCAGTGCACTCTTCCTACCCCAGTTCTGATCCCATTCCTCTTTTCACCCCCATAAATGATCTCTGGTTTATTGTTGCTCATTGTTTTCATGTTTACTTTATTCCATTTGTTGCTTCCCCTCCCCCCACCCCCCTATCACTTATGTTCCTGCTATGAGTGAAACCATCCAGTGCTTTTTTTATTTCTGGCCAATTTCACTAAGCATGATCCCTTCCAGCTCCATCCATGTTGCTGCAAAAGGCATGAGTTTATCTTTTTTGATTGCTGAGTAATATTCTATTGTGTATATGTACCACATCTTTTTAATCCAGTCATCTACTTTTGGGCATTTGGTTTGATTCCATGTCTTCTATATTGTAAACAGAGCAGCAATAAACATGAGGGTGTAGGTGTCCTTTTGAGTTGATGGTTTTGTGTCCTTTGGGTAGATACCTAGGAGTGGGGTGGCTGGGTCATATGGAAGCTCTATTTTTAGCCTTTTGAGAAACCTCCAAACAGCTTTCTATAGTGGTTATATCAGCTTGCATCCCCACCAGCAGTGCAGGAGAGTTCCTTTTTCTCCCCATCTTCGCCAACATTTGTTTTTGCTTGTTGTTTTTGTTTTTTTTAAAAAGATTTATTTATTTGTGCATACAGAGCTGGGGTACAGGCCAGAGGCTCAGGGGCGGTGAGAGGCTTCACCAGAGACAGAGTGGGGAACAGAACAGGCAGATCGACGAAGTCCACTGCTGAGGGGAGCAGCGGGCAGGTCATGAGAGGTCTGCTGCGCCATGTGGATCTCCTCCGGGGCAGGTGGGATCGAACTCATGCGGAATTGGCTTAAGCTTCTTGGTGCAGTGCTTTAACCCACTGCGCCACCAGGGAGGGCCTGCTAGTTGTTTTAATATGTGCCATTCTCACTGGTGTAAGATGGTATCTCATTGTGGTTTTTAATTTGCATTTCCCTTATTACAAGTGATGTTGAACATTTTTTCATATGCCTGCTGGTCATTTGCATTTCTAAAAATATGGAACACTGCACAAATCAGTTCAGGGGTCATTTTAATCTTATCTGTATAGTTCCAATTTTAGTGTATGTGCTGCCGAAGTAGCACTATGCCCAAGGTTTCTGTCTATCATAGGGAGATATTTCTCCTCTACCTTCTTCACATAGAAATCTATACAATGTGACTACTTCAAGTGCAAAGTGTCATGCACATGTTAATGCAACATGCATGACATTTAATCTGAAATTCTTGTCTGAAAATCATCTCAAAACTTTTTTTGTAAATTCTCTAGGTTAGACTCTCCATGGAACAAATTCACCATGTCTGATGGCCCTCTGATCATATGAAGACCTAGTGATCCTTCAGAAGCCACATCCCAGAACTCAGATCCCATTGCCTGGACATAGAGCAGAGCCAGCATGTCTGAGGTCTTCAAGACCTCTGGGAGCTCCCGTGGAGCAAAGTCCAGGCCCACCTGTGCCCAGAAATTAAGGACTTTGACTTTCCTCTAGTCTCTAAAATTATGCCTAAACTTAAATTTTAACATGTCTCTTCATAATTCCATTCCTCTCCCAAGAGTTGCCTATGAGATAGTTGAGGAAGGGAGACCAGAACAATTGTCATTTCTCCCAGTGTGACTGTGAGGAGCCAGGTATCAGATGGGAGTAAACAGAACTCAGCAACAATCCACTTGTTACTTCCAGCTTGGGGTCTGGGGAAGGAGTAGACATTTCAGAAGAGATTGCTGTGGTGAGAGGCCCAAGGACCAGATTCCCCCTTTGACCTGGATCATTCAAGCCTTCTGGAACTTCCACATCGACCTGTGTAAACTCACAGGAGGCAAGACCAGATCAGATATCGTCACAATGTGCAATTACCATTAAATGACCCCTAGTCTACAACGACTTTGTGGTTCCAGTGACTTCTGGCATGAGGATAATTCAACACTTGTACAAAAAGTAAGTTGAAAGAGAGGAGCTTTATTGAACTAGAGTCCATGAAAAGAAAGGTGGAGAAAAGTGATCAAAGGAAAAGTCAAAATAACATGTATGTAATAGATTTACATCCCCACACATCGTCACATTTATGAGCTTGATTTCCTTCCAATTCCCTAAGGACTTGCACCTTGTGCAAAGAGCCTCAAAGGCGGGAGTATGGGCTTTTTAACTACTATTATGTCCCAATGGACTACTCAAAGCTGCTTATTTTGTCTCTTTTGAACAAGTGACCAGCATTTCTCTTGACGTGTATGAAATTAAATAATAAAATTGCTTAATCACTTCTTTCATCAGTTAACATTCACCAAATATTACTGTATAATAGGCTCTGGGCTAGGTTAATTCCTGTCTCATCTTGTGTAAGTGTTTTCTCGTTCTTTCAGGACGATTTAACTATCTCTTCATTGGAGAAGTGAGGAGTATATGTGCTTCAGGAACCTGCATCAGGGCACCTATCTAAAAAGTGTGTTAGAGATGAGTTTACTCCTCTCAGGTCTGATGATTAAAGAACAAAGTCGTTTTACAACGACTTTGCAATCCACCTGCCAATGCATCAAAGCCATAGATTACAAAGGTGGTGACAGATTGTTGCTACCTGGGAAGAACATGGACTCTATTAGGATCCTACCTGTATAGGGAGATTATTTCTCACTTCATGATCACATAAAGATCATACCTATAAGGGAACTACATAAAGTCTAATTGTTGTACACATACTATTGTGATATGTCTGATATTTACTCATTGAATGTTTGTCTAGAGAAAAAGTGTCTTTCTCCCTCCTCCTCACCTCTCCATCTCCGGGATCAAGTTTATAATGTCTTCATTTCCACAATTTTTAAATTCACTACTTAACTTATACATTGTTTTACATTTTATTTAAAATATAAATAGATGACTAGATAAAAACCTAGATAAAAGAAATTCAGAAAAGAAAGAACAGTTTATGTGAGTTCCTAGGTTCTTCACATTTCTCTTCATCCAAAATCTAGCAGAACCTCTGTTCTCAAACACACAGATCCTCTACATGAGACTAATCATGAAAATGAGATTTCAAGCTGTCTACCCATGCTGGGACTGTTGCTAGGACAGATTCCCACATGGACAACTCTAAACAGAAGGGCACCAGGAATCAGCAAGCCAGATTCTGACCTTCTCTATTAGGTATTCTTTTGTTCAACAAAAGGATACTCACATATTGTGAGCACCAATTTCCATTAAGAGTAGAAACATTGGGCCCCATATATATATTTTTTTAATTTCCTTAGTTTTGTGTTATCATTCAGGTAACATTACAAAATATTTTTCTTACTGTGTTGTTCTCTTTATCACCCTCTTCAGGGCTTCTTTGATATCCTTGTTCCTCAGACTATAGATAAAAGGGTTTAACATGGGGATAATGAGAACATAGAACACAGACAGAAACTTGTTCTTTTTTGTGGAGTGACTGGAACTAGGATGCATATACACAGAGAGGGCTGTGCCGTACAAGAGTGTCACTACTGCCAGGTGGGAGGCACAGGTGTTGAAGGCCTTAGCGCTACCTTTGATGGAGGATATTTTTAGGATGGAAGCTGCAATGAAACCATAGGACAACAGAATAATAACCAGAGAACCTACGACAACAAGACAAACTATCAAGAAAAGACTCATTTGACTAATGATGGGATCAGAACAAGACAGGCTAATAATTTCAGTTATGTTACAGAAGAAATTTTGGATGACATTTGGCCCACAGTAGTATAACTCAAAGCCAGTGACTACTTCAACTAAGCTACAAAGAAGACCACACCCAAGGGCCCCAGCAGCCATCTTCCAACAGATTCCAGGCGCCATGATGATCGAGTACTGCAGAGGGTGGCCAATGGCAACATACCTGTCATAGGCCATAGCAGCCAGCAGGCAGCACTCAGCCTGACCCATCCAAGAAGCCACAAAACACTGACTTGCACAAGCAATGAAGGAAATGACTTTTTTAACTTTGAAGAAGTCTGAAAGCATCCTGGGGCTGATGGAAGTAGTGTAGCAGATGTCTATCAATGACAGGACACTGAGGAAAAAGTACATTGGTGTGTGCAGGTGGGAGTCCATTCTGATTAGGGTGATGAGACCCAGGTTCCAGAACAATGTCACAAGGTAGATCACCAGGAAGACTGGGAAGAGACTAAGCTGCAGCTCCTTTTCATCTGAGATTCCCAGGAGATGAAACATTGTTACAGATGTGACGTTTCTGTCCTCTCCCATGGACCTGCTTGGCACCATCTGCTGAGAAAAGATTAATATTGAAATTGTTTCATTTTCATAAAAACAGAAAACAGTATTCTTGATTTTTCTCTTCATGCAGCTGACATGGAAGAACATGATTCATTAATGTTGAGTGAATTTTGCCTCTTTGTACCATCACCAATGTTAGTAAAATTTCCCTGCATAAATATTCTCACTCTCCTTTCAACAAGACAAGGTAGTTAGGCATTATAAGAACTATTTCCACAAATTAACAGGATTTCCTGTGTCTCTGTCAAACTTAGAACCGCATGCCATTTGGAATTAGGCAAATTAGGGGGACACTGTCCTATCTGCACAGGGTGAGATGTGGTCACTTTAACTGGGCAGCCAGCCCCATGTGAGCCCAGCACTTGGAGAAGACCCTATATCATGCAAAGCCTCTATATAATGAGGGTGTTCGGGAGGTGCTCTTTAAAATCACTTTGAGAATAAGTATTCAATTAATCTATAATGAGGGAGTGTAGACAATTTTGTAAGTGTATTTCTGTGTCCACAGGTCTAGAAAAAGACAGGAAGAACATAGTAGAATCATGGAAGGAGGCACATGCCCAGTGGTGGGTTGGAGTGGATGTGACTTAACCAATTCACTAACTCCAAGAAGCCTCCAGCGCAGTTAGATAATACACAGTTGATAGAGCCTTAAGCTCCCTTTCTTGAAGCTCCAGTTTGTCATACTTAGAACTTGCATAGTCTAGAACTATGGCTTCATGGAGTCACCAATAGTTTTGAAAATGTTGGAAACTCTGACCTTCCACCAGCAGACCCACCATCACCCCCCAGGGCACGGGCTTATGGATTCTCTGTCAACACACAGTCCATGGTCACGTCCAAGGTTTAAATTCATGCTACAAAGACAGCGACTTGAGCACATAAATGTCAGGATGTGTAGACAATGGACATGGGAAATGGGAAACTGAGGCAGGTCTGGAAATCTTTTCTCCTCTTCACCAAAGTCCAGTACACAAAACTAAAGACCTGCATCTCTGAGTTAAACTCACGGCAATGAGTGTCTGCCCAAGGGGCAGCAGCCGTCCGGTCCCCAAAGGTCATGAGAACACCCCCACACACAACACATCTTCATCCAGGAATACAAACCAGAAGGAAAATACATGTGAGCAGCCTTCTACTTTGGGACAGATTTGCTGAAACTAAAACTCAAACAAATACTCTTGGGCTAAAATACAGAGTATTAAGCACAGTTATTCAAATGTGAGAATTGGGCTCCAGGTTGGATTTTGTCATTTTATCCATACTAAGTTGCACAATGATTTGTTTTTTTATCTCTGCATCATTTCACTCATGGAAAATTAATAAGAACCTCAAAAGTATCACTGCATTTGGAAATTTGATCTAAACAAGAAGATCTTAGAACAATTCCTCAGTAAATGTTAAAATAACACCAGGCCCTCCCTAGCGGCTCAGCAGGTTAAAGCACAGCACTAAGAAACTAAAGCCACTTCAGCCTGAGTTCGATCCCTACCCGGTAGATGACCCACAGGACACAGCAGACCTCTCCTGACCTGCCTGCTGCTCCCCTCAGCAGTGTACTTTGTCAGTCGGCCTGTTCTGCTCCCCAGTCTCTCTGGTGAATCCTCCCACCGCCCCTGTACTTCTGGCCTATACTCCAGCTCTATATGCATAAATAAATAAATCTCCTTTTTTTAATGTTAAAATAACAAATAACACCATTCATTATTGTCTGTTGAGTTCAGGTTTCCACCTCCACTTACTGGGGTGGCTTCTGACAAATGCCAGGGACTGACAGGCACAAGATGATGACACAGTCCCCTAAGCAGACTGCCTTAGCCAGAAGGTCCCCCTAAAATAAATGTTAAAGTCCTGTCGTACTGATTTATTCTTAAGAGAAATGCACAACACATACAAAGCCAAGTTTTGATCAATTAAAGAGACGGCATATCTTTAATTTATGACCTCCTGGCAACAGAGGAGCCTAACTAAATGAATATGTGTGACCAATCACTACAAAATAAGAGTGCGGATTGTGCTTTGATTCAGTTAATCATGAGAAATTTTCAATTCTTAAAATTTGACAGCTACATGAAAAAAATCTGAATATAATCACTCTCTTTGGTAAATGCATTAAATATGTTGAACTTTTCCCCAGAATTGTGAAGAAGGAACTGAGAGTATTATGGGAAACTTCACTGTGTGGATCTAGCTAATAAAATACTCTACCTAACTCTTACAGTCTCAAATATCATGAGATAGGAGTTTGTAAAATATGAGTTGATGAAATGTCAGGATGGTGTACAATGGGAAAAAATGATGTAGTTTAAAAAAATTTGAGAGCCTAGTAAGGTCAATACGACATGGTTTTAAGGTGGCGCCCTCACTGGTCTTTCAACAGACCAAAGACACTGTACACAAGCTTTGGCCATGTTTTATGTAGAAAACAGTTTCCTTTTGCTACTCAGGATGGAGGCCATGAATTTAAATGGAAATCAAGTTATTATTATCACTTAAAGCAAATTCATTAAGAGGATAACAAATGAAAAGTCTTCTTGGAGTGGTAAGTCTGGAAAGCATAGACAAGCCTACTTTCACTGTAGGAAATTCTCCCTGAATTCAGTACATAATAGTTCAACACACAATTAATAAAGTTTGCAATGTTTAACCTTTACACAAATCAGCTCATTTGACTCTACATGACATATTATTTCCAACTCATACACGGAAAACCAGAAGGTGACAAAGTTTAGCATCAAGTACTGGAGAATTACAGAGCTAGGTCACATCAGCCCTCAATACAGAGTAATACCTGACACTAACCTGGTCCCTGAAGCCACAAATTGTGGATAAGGGGGAACATTCCACAGACACACACCACTGTGGGGGACAGGGGGAAGAAGCTGAAGATGGAAGTGACCGAGTGTCAAGCACCTGCCCCACAGCTCCTGCTGGGGGCTCACACCGCTGTGGAGACAGCACAGAATCCTCTTATTTCTAAACCTCACTTCTCACCTTGACCAGGATCCCTCAGGAATATACACTTCTTGCCAGGGATGGAAAAGGCGTGTTTGTTTCCTAAAAAATATTCCAGGATGGACCTGGTTGACTCCAGGATGGGAGCTGTGAGCCATGAAACAGGTTGTTCACTGACAGCAAAAGAGATGCTCACAAACTAGAGGGAGTCCTCTAGTATTTATCATCTAGGGCAGCAGAGTTGGGGGAGGGACCATGAGACGGAGGGGCTCTCCAGGCACCTGCTCTCTGGGGTCACAGTTAATCTGCCCCCATTAGCCACATCCCCTCTGGGTCCTTTCTTTTCAGTCCTGGCAACATCTCACGGTTACAGATTTTATTTTAACAAACCAGGAGGCAATTGAACTGGAAACATTAGGAATAGTTCAGTTTCGTATTTTCACTTTTCATGTAATTTGAACCGAGATGTAAAGAATCTGCCCAAGCTACACAGTCTGTCAGTAAATAGCTTAGTAGCAATAAATTAGATGTGTAAACTCTTTCTTGTTTATCAGGAACTTTTATTTTAAATATATTAATGTGTAAATTTTATCAATGCCCTGGCCTGAAATAATCATCAGAGCAGCCCTGTGAAATATATGAGGAATCCAGGATTACCTAATTATTACTTAGATTAACAAATTATTACTTAGTTTACCTACCTAATTATAACTTAGATTAACAAAGCCATTTATATACTCCTATCCTATGTTCCATGTTGATGTTCCAAAATCCAGCCCAAAAATCATTGTGGCTGACTCAAATGTGTTACCCAATTGTCCTCTTCTTAAGATCCCTTTATTATCTTGGTTTGATTGTAGAAAATAAGGTTCAGCGTGGGAATAACAACATCGATCATGGTCAGGAACTTGTAGTGTTTCATCGAGTGGCTGAACGAAGAGCACGTGCTCAGGGAGGGCTGGCACAGACGAGAGTCACAGCACCAGGTGGGAGGCGCAGGTGTTGCTGGTCTTGGCACGACCCCTGGTGCAGGACACTCTCGCTAATGAGTTTCAGTAGAACCAAAGCATGGGGGTTGGCATTTAAGACCCAACTTCAGCAAACACAAGTGAAAGTAAGTAGTCACTAGGCATTGAGAGATTGAAGGAAGATGAGGGTAGAATCCTGGGTATGTCACAGATGAAATGCTGAGTGGTGATTTGCCCACCATGGTAGAGATAAAACCAGTGACTGTTTAAATACTAATAAACTAATGAGGATTCCACATAAATCCAA